AGGCTGCCACCAATTCCCCACTAGATCTCCTGTCTCTATCTGCGCTCTCCTCTCTCTACCCCTGTCTCTTTCTACATCTCGCTCTTTTCCTCTGGGGTCTCTTTCCCCTCAGTTCCTCCCTCTCACTGTGGTCTGTCTCTCTCCAGTTCCCACCCCATCCTCCACTCCCCCACTTTGTTCACAGTCACGCTCTGGGCTGTTCTCAGAGGTCCCTGCACATCTTCCTATGAGGTCATCATCCTGCACAAGGCCTCCCCGTGTCCTCGCACTCCTCTGCCAGCTCCCTGCCTCCTGTCTGCAAGGGACCTGTGATCTGGGCCCAGCCTGGGAGTCCCGGATAACTAGACTGGGGCCAGCACCCATGGGACCCACAGCCTGTTCACTGTCGCCTGGCCTAGGGGCACCGGCAGGGCTGGTGGGTGACAGCTTAGCCGCAGCCCTTCCCCTCGGTCACTGTTGACATTGTGACAAGAACAGCCTCCCTGTGCCCAGCCAGGTGCCTGGGACTCCTGTGTGTTTCCAGTTTCCTTCTCAGGACAGAGTGGAGGTAGGGGCAGCATCCCATCTCCTAGAGAAGGAAGCCGTCACTCAGGAGTCATGGAGAAGCTGGTTCACAGGGAATGAGGGTCCAGCCAGGTTCCACACCAGGTCTGATGGCTCCAGAGGCCACCTCTTCCTTTGATTCAGCCTCTGCCTCACATGTATTTAGTCCCCAGGAGAGTGCAGGTGGGGTCAGAGGGAACATGTCCCAGAAGAGGAAGGGGAGGCTCACAGCAGGGCTCCCTCCCCTTTGCAGGGCTCCCTCTCCTGAGCAGCCCTCTGACCCACTCATTCACCTGAGCGATGCCTGGGGCACAACCTACAAGACACCCAGCCTCTCCCCACTGCTTCACCGCCTACACTGCTGAGCCCCGCTCCCTGCTGGGCATGGCGTCCTGGGCAGGCCACACACAGAAATTGAGGTCCTGCCCCAGCACAGAACCTCACCCCCATCTCCCAAACAAACACCCACAAGCTATGTCCTCTCTGGAAATCACCAGCCCCCTGTCCTCCTGTTCAATGGAGAGGTAAAGTCACATCCCAGCTGGGACCTGGCTCATCCAGAGGGATTCAGGGTCCATATATGGTGACACCACACCCACCCTCTACCTGCACATTGCCCCCTGTGTGCCTCAGGTTCCCTGTTTGCCTGGCAGCTCACCATGTAGCCTCATGGTGAGGATGCGTGAGATAGTCCAGGGAAAGAGCTGAGCACACGGCGGGGCGGGGCTTGCCCAGAGTGGGTTGTTGCTGACCGACGCTGGAGCTCACAGACAGGTCCGCAGGATGAGTAACTGGCCCTGTGTCCCCTGCAGGAGTGACAAGCCAGGAGGAGCTGCAGGTGATCCAACCTGAGACGGTGTCAGTCGCCGCTGGAGAGACGGTCACTCTGTCCTGCCAGCTCTCCTCTCTGCATCCCCTGGGGTCCATCAGGTGGTTCAGGGGGACTCTCCCAAATCGCCAGCTAATCTATGATTATAAAGGAACCCAAGACAAACAACACCTCTTCCCCCGAGTAAGAAACGCTTCAGACCCCACCAAGAGAGACAACTTGGACTTTTCCATCCGCATCAGTAACATCGCCCCAGCCGACGCCGGCACCTACTACTGTGTGAAGTTCAGCAAAGGAAGCCCTGCTGACGTGGAGCACAAGTCTGGTCCTGGGACTCGGGTGACAGTGAGTGGTGAGTACAGGGTGACCTGCCCCATGTGACAGCTGCTCAGGACTGAGCCTCTGAGTTTGAGCAACAGTCGTCAGGGGTGCTGGTCCACAGCGTTCATATTCGGGGGCCCCCCTCAGTCCTTCCACCGACCAGGGGCTGAGGCCATGGGGTCCTGCTGTTTGCTCCGGGCCCCCAGCTGGAAGCAGGAGGAGAAAAGTCTGCTCCGGAGCCTGGTCCTTTCCAGTCTGGTCCCCGCAGAGCAGGCCACTGACAGCCTGGGCGCTCCAGGCCCAGCAAACCCACCTCCTGCCCCAGCTCCTCCCTGCACCGTGCTCCTGTCTGCGTTACTGGACAGATGCGCGCTGAGCCCTACTGTGTGCAGCCCTGCTCTCAGTGTCGGAAACAGCGAGGACAACGTGGGGAAGCTCTCCCCTCACGGAGCTTCTCTTCTCTCCCCTCCAAGGAGCAGAGGGGCGGGGGGGCCGTCTTTATTTCAGAATCAGAAACATCACACGGAGGGCTGGCTTTACCTCAGAACCAGGTCTGAAAGGCAGAGACCCCCTGATGGATTGGAGAGGCTGGTCCCGGGACAATCGGAGAGGGCTGGCCTGGGGATGGGCCCTGTTGGGAAACTCCCTGAGATGCAAGACAGAGACCCCCATTAAGCACAGAGGACCAGGGGTTAGACTTGCTTAGGTCACGTGTCCCTCACCCCACAGATAATCCCATGGGGGGAGTGAGTTGTTGTCCAGCTGAGACTCCGTTTGGGTTTTCTGCCCTCTTCCCAACTCCTGGGTCCTGGAACATCAGGCCGTTAGACCACAGCATATACAGCTCCCCCTCAGCTCCCACCCGAGGCCAGCAGATGACAGGGCCGTGCCCTAGGCCCTAGGGGGAGTTAGCAGTGGGGCCTGGAGCTGAACGAGGTCCGCATGCTGACTGCGCTGGCGTTCGATGCACTGCCCATGGCAGAGCCGAACACTCAGTGCTGAATAAGAGCTCTTGGCACCGACCCACTGAGCAGGAACCACCGTTGCCCCTTTCCATCAACTCCCCAAGGATGAGAAGGGCCCTTCCCCTCAGACCCTGGAGACTCTGGTGATTGGAAAACCATGTCCAACTGCACCCAGACCACACTGTGCCCACCTTTTCTGTGTGGACAGCACGTGTGCTCTGTTCATAACAACTACAGGACGCCCCATGGTGTGGAAAGGACCTCACTTACTCGCTGGGCTCCTGCTGAGGAAAACCCAGGCTGTCCGCAATCTCGGGACCCTCACCGAGAGCGGCCAGGGTGACCTGCTGCTCTGTCCATCTCACCAGGGGTATCCTTGGTTGGAGAGGGTACAGACACCATCCAGACACCGCGGCAGAGTTTCCCACAGCCCTGGACGTGGGCGGGGCGGGAGAAAGGGAGCTGCGTCCTGATCCCACAGACGTTGCGGGCCCAGGGCTGAGGTCCCACAGGGCGGCCCTTCTCAGTGGGAGCCGGCACTGCAGCCGGTGTCTCAGCCTGACCCACAGCGGCTCTCTCCGCGTGGACGCCCTCCCTCTCTGCCTGCTGTCCTCCAGTCACGCCGGGAGGAGGGGTAACGAGAGGACTCCCCCAGGTCCCCTGATGGCTTCACCTCTTAACCAGCTCTGAAAGGAAGGGACCTGAGGCTCTGAGAGGGACCTGTCTGTGGGCAGCTAGGGGGCTCAGATTTGAACCCCAGTAGCTTGATTACTCAGCCCCTGCTCTCTGCCACAGCCCCTGTGCTGGTCGGGGTGTGGGGGATGCTCCATCCCTCCCTGTTCCAAATGCTCGGGTCCTCTGTTTTGCAGCAAAAAAACAAAAACCAAACTCACTGCCATCAAGTGGGGTCCAGCTCATAGTGACCCTAGAGGACAGGGTGGGACCGCCCCTGTGGGTGTCCGAGATTGTGACTCTTTATTGGGCCTGACAGCCTCACGTTTGTCCCTCAGGGTGGCTGGTGACTTTGACCTGCTCTCCTGTAGTTAGCAACCCAGTGTAACCACTATGTCACAAGGGCTCCTTTTGGCAGCAATAAGCATTTTAAAAAATAAGAGTGACTGTCCCCAAGGGGCAGAGGAGCTCCTTTATAACCCAGACCACACAGACACTGCCCCAGCCAGGGTGTGAGCCCCCCGCCCTACAAGAGGCTTCTCAGCAGCCTTGTAACCCCTGAGGCATCTTCTCCATAACTGTCCGGACCAGCTCCCCCCTATGCAGCCGGGGAGCCAGCGCAGTGCAGGACAGCAGTGATGGGACAGAGAGGGGTCCAGGACCACCCCACCGAGAACCAGCGCCCACTGCCCAGTGCTGAAGACCAAGGAAGTCCCTGCAAGGTGCTGGGGCTCCCAGGGGAGCAGGGGTTTATACCCCAGTCCCACTTGGTCAGAAACCTAGTCTCACCCATTTATCACCGCAGAGTAACTGGCCTGTGCACAGAGGATGAGGAGGGACATGACTGACTACAGTCGCTGAAGCCAAGGGTGGCACAGGGTCAGTGTCAGGGTCCTGAAGGCGGCCACTCGCTCTCTGGTGGCATGTGAGGGCTGAGGGCCATGGGAAATTCCCACGGGGACAGTCACTGTGCCCAGGGAAGTTCAGGTTTCCCATGGACAGGTAAGACTTCTGTTAGGAGAGCCGAGAAGTGTTCACACTCAGCTGTCACTCCGATGGGAAAAGGTGAGGCTGCGGCTCCTGTAAAGGTTTAGAGTCAAGGAACCAACCTGGCCCATGGGATCACTCTAAGGTGTGACCAGTCGGAACCACCTGGGAGGTAGTGAGTGTGGGTGAGTGTGGAGAGTCTTCAAGGACACGGAGTGGCCTCGTCCTTCAGAATCTGCCCCCTGAGCACCAGGTCAGGGCTGTTTGACAGGCCAGGCTGGAGGGAGGGACCTTCTGGAGCGCCTGCTGGAGACAGGCCTGCTGCTTCTCAGAGGGATGTCACCCCGAGGAGGGGCGTGTCCTCCTGCAGCTCCAGGTCTAGTTCCATTCGGTCCCTCACACGGAGACAGGGCCGTTTCTAACACCAGAGGTTTCTTACTTTAGCATGAATTCTGACAGACAAGATTAAAAAATCACAGGAAGCCCCATTGAAACACTAGGGCCAGTCCAGCCTCAGAACCGTCGTCCCTGCTCTGTGAGATGAGGGCAGTGACCCCTCCCACCTACTATTACCACCAGGATTAGAAAATGCTTTGTAAGAAGGGTCCAAACAGTGTCACATGCTTATCTTTCTCAGGGGCAATGCAATGATGTTTACAGCTGAAAAATGTCCCTTCTTGTAGCCCAGCCCTCTGCCCCCCTGGTATTGGGCCCCTCGGCGAGGACCACACCTGGGCAGACAGTGAGCTTCACCTGCGAGTCGCACAGCTTCTCCCCAAGAGATGTCTCCCTGAAGTGGTTCAAAAATGGGAAAGAGCTCCCAGCCCTGCAGACCGAGGTGGTCCCGCTGGGCGACAGCGTCTCCTACAACATCTCCAGCAGGACCCAGGTGACGCTGACCACAGAGGATGTGCACTCTCAGGTCATCTGTGAGGTGGCCCACACTACCTTGCAGGGCTCTCTTCGTGGGACGGCCAACGTGTCTGAGACCATCCGAGGTAGATGACACACACCCCGCCCGCACCCTCACCTGCCCCCAAGCCTGCTCCCCAGGATTTGCTCCAGGGCATGTTCTGCCATTTGATTCAGGGCAGCTTTCCTGCAACTTCTACTGCTGTGGGCGTGATGAGGATTACCTGGTAGGGTCGGTCCACCTTGGCTTAAGTGCAGGAGTCTTGTGTTGTTTGGAATGCAAATACTAAGGGTCCCACCCACAGCCATAAACCTGCAAGGTGTCAGTCATTGCTCAGCACTCTCACTTATGAGGGGTTACCCAAAAAACTGGATTTGCACTTGGCAGAGCAGAGTTTTCATATTACATATTTTTCCTGCTAGGTGAGCATTGAGCAAATCATTCTGAACTAGTGCACCCAGTGGTGTTGCCTGGGAAGGTTCTCTCTGGTCATAATGAGCTGTTTCATAAGAAGCAGTTTTGCTCAAACCTCTTTTTTTTATGATGGCAGATTTAAGGGAACAGTGTGCAGCTGTGAAATTGTGCCTCCTGACTGGGAAAAACGCCCCAGAAACGATTGTGAGATTGAACACAGCTTACAAGGACAGCACTCTGGGGAAAACTCAAGTGTAGTAGTGGTTTTCTCATTTCAAAAAAGGTGAAATGTCGATTGATGACAAACCTTGTCCTGGATGTCCGTCCACTTTTGAACAGTCAAAAATGTTAACTCATTGTGCATGTGGAATTCATTCAGCCAGTCAGATTGTTAATCAAGCTTTCTATTTAGAAGTTCTGCAAAGATTGTGTAACAGTGTGCAACCAGAGAATACTGATTTGTGGCAGATGGAGGACTGGTTTTGCCACCATGACAATGCACCATCTCAATAAGCCCGTTTTGGGCAAAAACCAGCATGGCTTTCTTGCCCCACACACCTGACTCACCTGATTTCACGTAATGTGACGTCTTTGTGTTTCCACGAAAGCAGAGGGACACAAAAGGACAGTGGTTTGACGATGTGGAAGAGATGAAGAAAAAAACAAGGGAGGTGCTGTCAGCCATCCAAACAGATGAGTTTGAAAAATGTTTCCAAGAATTGAATCACAACATTCACAAATGTATTAAGTGTAATGGAGAGTATTTTGAAGGTGAAAACTTTGTTTTAGAAAAAGCTTTAAATACAGAGCTTGGCGTTGGGGGCGGGGGTGTGTGATCCGGTTTATTTTGGGTACCCCCTTATATTGTTACGATCATGGCAACTTTGAGTTGAGTATCTTCCACGGCCCAACCACAATGCCAGGAAGTTTCATTTCTTTTCCCAGCAACAACAGCAGTTGTTAGGTACCTTCTACATGCTAAGCCCCTATGTAGTTGATGGTGTTATTTATTTTCTTAGTTATTGCATTCTGACTGCATGTGAGGCATTGTGATTGCTAATGTCACTGATTATTGCCCTAATAGGAACTGTCAGTGCTTGACCCCCTACCGTGTGCCAGGCACTGTGCAGAGATTCCATGGGTGACGCACACAGGTTGTATATTGTTTGAGCCCCTGCTGCATGCCTGGCACTGTCCTCAGGGCCCCCTTGTCAAGATGGTGGGCGATCACCAGTCCAGAGCCCCTGTCTGTGACCTGTCTGTTCCACAAGGTCAGAGCTTCTGCTCTGTGCTGTTTCAGTTGCACCCACTTTGGAGGCCTCCCAGCACCCCGTCCAAGAGAACCAGGTGAACGTCACCTGCCAGGTGAAGAAGTTCTACCCCAAGAACATAGACCTGACCTGGTTGGAGAACGGAAATGTGCCCCGAACCGAATCGGCCTCACTCCTCACGGAGGACAAGGATGGGACCTACACCCTGAAAAGCTGGATCCTGGTGAACTCCTCTGCCCTCAGGGAGGACATGGTGCTCACCTGCCAGGTGGTACACGACGGGCAGCCCGCAGTCACCAGAGAGCAGACCCTGAAGGCCCCTGTCCACACGAAGCCGGAGAGCACAGAGCAAAACCCCGGTGAGGCCCCCACCCTGCCCCGCCCGGCGCTACTTGAAAGTGTACCTTTTTTTGACCTTCATATTTGCAATGCTAAAAGTAGTGATTTGTGTTTCTTTTAGAGTAATGTGTTGTTATTGTTTTGTTTTTAATGGTTTTAACAACCTTTCTGCTTGTCTGGAGCTCATGGCGTCCCCTGTCTAAAGGGACCAGACTGTTGTGACCCATGGAGGTTTTTTGGGGTTTTTTGGTCTCTGAACCGTTTATTGCTGGGGCAGGGAGGGGGCTCAGGCGAAGGTGGAGCTGTTCCAGCCCACGTTGGCGGCGTTCATGTCATAGTAGATGTAGATCCTTTCCGGGCTGATGCGCAGGCACTCGGCCTGCAGGCCGCACAGCAGCTTGCTGTAGGTGCGGTTCTGCGCCCGCCGACGGCTCGCCAGAGCCGCCGAACACCTCGTGCACGGCGATGTACTGGGCCGGCTTGCCGGTGGGCTCGGAGAGCAGCCCGTCGGGCACAGAGGCCGGGGCACGTTGGTGTTCACCACGAACATGGGCATGATGGCGGAGAGACGGCGCGGTGGGCCAGACGGGCGACACACGGACAGACACGTGCGGCGACCGACCCATGGAGTTTAAATGGCTGTTTTTTAGAAGTAGACAGCTCAGCCTTTCTCCCTAGTCTGTCTTAGTCTGGAAGCCCCGCTGAAGTCTGTCCCCCCAAGCCCAGGAGCACGTAAGCCTCCACTAACTGATTATGGGGGCTCGGCATAAGGGGCACTGGCCAGAAATCAAAAGTGGCTCTCCCACTTGGGAGGCAAGAATTCTACCACTAAGGCCCCAAGGCTTTTTGTGGAATAATCTAGGTGCCTGAGAATGCACACTAGAGGCTGAAAGAGCTCCCTTCCCCCATTCCCACATGCCAAGGTCGCCCTCCAATGGGAGATTGGTATATGGCTCCATAGGTATTTTTACATATGTTATTACATGTTACATACGTTATGTTAAATAGAGAAGGAAACTCACTTCTATGCCACTGAGAGCAAGGTCTTCCCATCCCTTCCCTCAAGAAGAACATTCTGGGCCACTGGGAAGTAGGTGGGAATGAGAACAGGCACAGGGTGGTGCAGAGGATTCAGGACATCAGTGGGCACAGGGAGCATCAGAGGGAGCAAGGGGAAGGCTGGAATTGGACCGTGTGCACCTCCACTAATGGCTCCTCCTACCTGTCCACTTTCATTCCCAGAAAGGACAAATCCATTTCACCACTTTGGAGCTTTCCTGCTAGGCTTCAAGGGGCTGATGGTGGTTGCTGTGTCTGTCACCTATGTCTACAGGAAGATGAGCACCTGACAGTAAGTAGTGCGGAAGAAGCTCAGTCCTCAAGGAAGGAGGGAGGGATGGAGGGAAAACACCTGTGCTCAGAGGGGCAAGGTCAGTGGGGCTGAACAGCCTAGGGTGTGCCATGTGTCACAGAGTGTCAGCGGCCACTAGGAGTTAAGAGAGTTTACAGACCTCCCCTACAAAGAACCGGTTCTCAGCCTTCCTCATACTGCCACCCTTCAATTACAGTTCCTCATGTTGTGGTGACACCCCC